GAATGCGCCCCAAGAGAAGAACTCAAAAGATGGACTGCCGTGGAGATTCCCGAGATCCTTTTCTTTCTAAACAATTTTTCTTGTTTTTGAAAGAACCTATGCCAAGCCCGAGGCATAGGGGTTTCTTGTAAGGGTTCTCCCATTTTGTTTCAGACAATATTTATAATTAATAAAAGTTATATTTTGTTTTCAATTAAGATCCTTGTCTTTCTTTTGCATTTACCTCTTAAAATTAAAAATGGCAATACTTTCTCTGCATGTGCATTTTCAAAGTTCATATACTAAAATTTGTACCAAAACATGACAAAGGTGCAGATCCATGCCCAAATCCATCGATAATGTTACTGCTGCGACCCGATAAAATTTTTATGCTCCTATCGACCAAGCTGAAGGGGAAGATGATGAAGATCTGGAACTCTCTGGGGAAATGGCGAGGTAAATAGAACGAAAGAACATACCACCGTACCAAGAGGCTATTGAGACCATTAATCTGGGCACAGGGGAAGATCTGAAAGAAATCAAGCTAGGGGCAATGCTAGAGCAGAGCGTCAAAGAAAGGCTGATCAAATTATTGCATATATCTGCTTGGTCCTAAAGAAAAATGCCAAGGTTAGATACAAACATTGTGGTGTACAAACCACCTCTCAAAGAAGGTTGGTCGCCAGTTAGGCAAAATAAGTGACTACGAAATACCATGACCTGACGAAGGACCCGATCCAGGGGCACACTCATGTTCGACGGGGCTTCAAATGCACTTGGGCTCGGTATAGGGGCAGTTTTGACTTCTCCAAATAATTATCACAAGCCCCATACTGCATGATTGTGTTTTGACTACACCAAGTACAAAGCATGTTTACTAGGACTGGAAGTTGCCATTGATCTGAGAACAAAGCATCTCTAAGTATTTGGGGACTCCACATTAGTCATATACTAAGTCAACAACGAATGGAATACTAAAACATCTAAAACTGATTCCATATCGGGACCATGTTTTGAAAACTGACTGCAGAATTCACAAAGATCACTTTCAGTCACATCCCACGAGAAGAAAATCAAATGGCAGACGCTTTGGCAACTATATCAGCTATGTTCAAAGTAACTTGGTCAAACCACAAACCACGGATCACAATCAAGAGCCTGCACACTATCTTGCTATCAAAGAAAGACTGGATGACAAGCCTTGGTTTTATGACATCATGAAATACCTGGAAAAACAAGAACATCCAGAAAATGCCTCTAGCATTGACAAACAAACTCTACAGAAATCAGCCTCGAAATTCTTTCTGAGTAACAGTGTACTGCATAAGAGGAACTACAACATGGTCTAGTACTCAAGAATATTCCGCTGCCTCGCCTTGATTCACGTGGTAAATGGACACCCAAATATGAAGGTCCATACGTAGTGAAAACAACATTCTTCGGTGGTGGTCTTATCCTCACAACAATGGATGGGGAAGAACTAGCGCATACGGTAAATTCAAACACAGTAAAAAAATAATAAGAAGCTCGCTAAGCTCGAACCCTAAATGGGCGACTTAGGCAAAATGGAACGTCCCGGTGGATCGAAAACCCTAAAGGGAGATCCAGGCAAAAATTAGGGGCATATAAACGAATAAATTATCCCGGTGGATTGAAAACCCGAAAGGGAAATCTAGACAAAAAATAGGGATTTCATACAAAGAAATAAAGAACAAAAAGACTGCGATCTAAGAACTACGACTACGAACCACGAAGGGGGAGATGGATCAGAATCATACAACTCAGAAGCAAAGGAGATAAGGGCTATCAAAAGGATATTGGGGAACAATAGCAGTAATTATAATTTTTCATTGCCATTTACAGTTTTAAAAATTTCTGTAATTACCTCTTTCTAGGAATTGCATTTTGTACTCTCACCTATCCAGAGGCATATTAATAAAACATTCACTTTTATTTTCATCTTCCAAAATTGTGCTTTTTGTTTTTTAGACTTGTCTGCAAAATACTATGATTATTGCTTGTGAATATTATCTTGAAATCATTTCGGGGGAATTAACAAATAAAAGCATTTGAAAAAAATATCAAAAAGCATTTTGGTAGAAAAACATCAAAAGAAAATCCACATCTACGTTCATATACATGTTTGCGCCTACGCCTGCACTTGCAACACAAGAGTTTGTACACACGTCCACGCCTGCATCTACCCATATGCCAATACATACGTCTACATCTACGCTCACACTTACAAAAACAACAAAAACAATGCTCAAAATCCTGCTAACGCCTTTCACCACATTCAAATTAAATTCAACAACGCTATAACAATGCAACATACAACGCCAGGGAATTGGTAATTCAAAACCAATGGTTTATAGGAGAGAATTCCAAAAACAATCTTCATAACATTTCAAGGCATACACGCATTTTACACACATTTTGCATATCCAAATCATACATACACTATACATTTTTTCATACATACAATACGCATATAATCAGGGTTCCATATCCATATCATACATCATACATACACAGAAATTCAACACACATACACTAAGGGTTCCACCTCAATGCCAGACATCATACACATGTGTTATACAACAAACAAAAAATCTCACCCTCGATTCAATCATCTAAGGGTCAGTCATCAAAACACACTTCTACCAATCTAACCCACTGCCTAAGATGTCGTGCAGCAGTGCGGTTCCTTATTCGGTAATTTAGATCATTGCATAAGATGTCGTGCAGCAATGTGTTTCTTTATTCCGCAACCCAGATATCGTCTAAGACGGCATGCAACAATGTTCGGAAACAAAACCTAGTTCATTACCTAAGACCTCGGGCAGCAATGCAACTTAACCCACTGCCTAAGACATCGTGCAGCAGTGTGGTTCCTTGTTTGATAATATAAACCATTGCCTAAGACGTCGTGCAGTAATGTGCTTCTTTATTCTGCAACCCAGACCATCGCCTAAGACGACATGCAACGATGTTCTAAAACCAAAGTTTAGCCTATCGTCTAAGACGACACATAGCGATTCGCAAACTTAACTCATTGCCTAAGACATCATGCAACAACGCGGTTCCTTGTTCGGTGATATAGACCATTGCCTAAGACGTCGTGCAGCAATGTGCTTCTTTATTCTGCAACCCCGACATCGCCTAAGATGACATGCAGTGATGTTCGGAAACAAAACCTAGCTCATTGCCTAAGACCTCGGGAAGCAATGCAACATAACCCACTACCTAAGACATCGTGCAAAAGTGCGGTCCCTTACACCGTAATAAAGACCATTGCCTAAGACGTTATGCAACAATGTGCTTCTCTATTCCGCAACACAACTTATCTCCTAAGATGACGTGCAACAATTCGCAAACCTAACCCACTGCCTAAGACATCGTGCAACAGTGCGGTTCCTTGTTCCATAATAAAGACCATTGCCTAAGACGTCGTGCAGTAATGTGTTTCTTTATTAAGTAACACCAACCATCACCTAAGACGACACAAAGCGATGTTCAAAAACCAAAATCCAACTTATCGCCTAAGACGACATGCAGCAATTCGCGAACCTAACCCACTGCCTAAGACATCGTGCAGCAGTGCAGTTCCTTGTTCCGTAATAAAGAACATTTCCTAAGACGTCGTGCAACAATGTGCTTCTTTATTCTGCAACACAAAGCATCGCTTAAGACGTCATGTAGCGATGCTCATAAGAAATCTAGCTTATCGCCTAAGACGTCATGCAGCGATTCACGAACATAACTCATGGAATCAGTCTCCAAGCAGCCATGCATCATCCGTTGTTGTTTTACTCATCCTCCAAAGGGATGAATAAGCAAAAGCAAACCAAGACATACAACATTATTCTCTCAAGCTCAAAACCATCTGCCTCATCGTCACATCCTGGTAAGCGATATATCATCAGTTTTACCTACTTCCTCAAGACTCGTAACGGTATGCTATATCAGTGTAACCTTATGTTTGTCGGACAAATTTTGGGGTATTCCAAGTATTCAAGAAACTCCCAATCATAATGCGCAAGACTCGCGTTTTCTCGCGCTATTCGATTGGAAGATAATTGAATAGGGGCAGTTGTCGTACCCCAAATTTGCCCTACCTCGATGATTTTATTTTTTAAGATTAAAATAGAAAGAATGTTTAATTAAATATGGTACAGTACTATCTGATAGCCCATGTTTATCTAAGACTACGGGGTGTATTTCAACTCAGGAGAGTGAGACTTTCTAAATCAGAAAGACTCATAAACCTATTCGCGAAGCATGTTGCCCATTGGCCCATGCAATTCGAAAATGGGAAATCATTTTAAAAGAATTAATAATTGCTAAGTTATTAAATTGACTTAGCCCATTTAAGTATTTGTTGTTGTTAGTAAAAAAAGGGTGTGGTTGCAATATGAAGCCCATTAAATTGGCTCATCTAATGTTTTTGGGAGAAAAAATATTGTTATTAAAATTGCTATTTTTATTTTAATAAAAAAAAAATATAAAAGAAATATTTTTATTATTAAAGAAAAAAAATTGTCATTATAAATAAATAAATGAATAATTTTTTTTAAAAGGAAAATAGAGAAGAAAACGTAATGTTTTATTTTTGCTGATAAAACTTGTTTGTAAAATTTATTTTTTTGTAAATGATTAGTTTTGGGGAAAAAGGCCATTTGGGCCAGTTGTAAAAAAAAACTTGTTTTCTGGCTGTAATAAAAAAAAGCAGCACATTTGGGCTAAGTAAGAAAATAGTAATGTGAAGCCCAAAAACAATGCTAACAACCAATGTGCAAATTGCCAATAACTAATGCACGTTTCTGCAATAAACAATCAAATCTCAAGAATAAGCTATTACAAGCAAGGCAATCTCCATTAAATTCATTGACTATATAATAATCTGAACAATATATATATATATATAGATGAAATACATTTGGTTATTAAAGAAAATTATAATAAGAACTATTTACCTAATATGAAAATTAATAATAATAATAATAATTGTATGGACTTCATTAATCATCACTTACATCTTCTTGTTGCCACATTTCAACCCAATTCTTCTCAAGTTCTTGAAATCCAAGCAAAGAACCTTCCCTTTCTTCATCCAAACTAGTAGACAATACACCATATGCAATTCCAAGTGCAGAAGCTCCAAATGTTATAAGTGTTGTCAAAAATGGTATCCATAATGGAGCATTCCATATTTCTCTATCCTTTAACTCACCATAAAGATGCAAAAACCCTAATCCTATTCCCATTGGAACTAAAACACTAACCAATATTCTACCTACTATTCTATACATAACTACCTTAGTAATATCATCATCATCATTGTTGTTGTTGTTGGGATTCTTTTTCATAGTAATCACATCATCCTTAGTTTTATCCTTTGATGATGATGGTCTTGTGTTGGACAACCCTTTGGCACTTGCTTGTGTCTTCAATGTGGTTAATGGAATGTTGGAGAACCCTTTGTGGTCAAAACTTGGAAATATCTTTTGTTTTGAGAAATGGAGAGATGGGTTTGATGCAAAAATTAGAGTTTTCATTGTTTCTTTTTTGTGTGAAATTGTGTTGAATTGGTTACTATTGGTTTTGAGTGGAGATAGTTTTATATATCTTATCCTAAAAGTTAATGAATGGTCATGAAAGTTGAAGTTTCATAGCTTTATTATCATCTTATCTTATTTTATATTTTTGGGGTTGGGCTTTATTTATTTATTTATTTATTTATTTTATTTTTAAAAATAATGTAATATGTATTTTTAAGTAAAAGACACATTTGAATACCAACAAAAGTTTTTTTATATATAAATAAATAAGACATTAGATGAAAAGTATCACATATGAGCTTCTAACTATGCAAGAAGAATTTCATGAAATAGTATTTTTTTTTTCATCTTGAATTTGAATTCATGGTAAACATTTTTTTGTTAAAAAGTTGTTCAACGACGACTTGATCCAGAATTTCTTCTTGATGATCTTGATTGTGATCTATGTGATTGCCTCAAATTAATTTTAATGCTGAAAATAAAAAAAATTGAAACAAATATTTTGTTATTATTTTATTTGGGTAAGAATAAAATGATTAGAAATAAACATAATAGACAATAGAGAATTCAAATAGTCAATATAAATTACTCACTTCTTTTGAACATGAACATATTCATCAGTCTCATCCAATATATCTCCCTTGTAATCCAAAAAGTAAATATATAAAATATCAGAATGCATGATTATAGAAAAGATTAACAAAACATCATAAGTTGCTAATTAATTAGTAATATATGTAAAAAGTTTAATAATTACTTGTAATAATTCCTCCATAACATCTTCCATTGTAATGATACCAACAGCTTCTATATGTTCATGTGTCATACATCCAATTTCATGCTCCCATTGCTCTGATTCTTGTCCTACTTCATTGTCTAGCACCATCACATTTTCTAATGTTGGACTATGAAATTCAACATCACTAGATTCTTGATTTGAACTTCTCTCACTCATTTCTAGGACATATGAAGAATTTGATTCTACACATTCCACAATCACAAACATAAATGTCACACTTGTAAGTGTATGATACCATATACATATGGCTAGCTATATTACCTCCATTAATTTGAGCATGGTTTGATTCTTTATTAGTTATTATATTCAAAAATATTGGTGAATCCACAGCATGAGCTGCTTCATTGCTTTCTGTCTCCATGTTTCCCTTCAACACAACAGCCATATGGCTATGACCCTTCTTGAATTGATTCAATATCTCATATAATGGCCAACTTTCATAAACCCTGTCGTAAATTATGGAGTTAGTAGACGATACTGTTGAATAAATTTTAATTGTTAGTGGATTTTTTTATTAAATAAGATAGTGAGAAGATTAAAAATCAAATGTAATTTAGAAGGTCAAGAGATAGTGGATTATAATAGTATTTACTAATAGCATTTATTTTTTTAGAATAGTAGAAGTTTTTGGGTCTATATAAAAACCAAGATTGTATTTTATTTTTAACAATAAAAAGTAGAAGTTTGCTCCTTATTTAACAAATTGGCATCAGAGCAAATGGCAAACAGGATGAATCAAATGTCGTGGCCACGGCTAACGAAGTCAAATTACGAAAACTGGAGTATCCAAATGAAAGCTCTTCTTGGATCTCTAGACGTGTGGGATGTGACCAGAGATGGGTTTGAAAAACCAACAGATGTTGGGGGATATACGGCAGCTCAAAATAAGGCGTTGAAAGAGATGCAATCGAAGGATAAAATAACCCTATACATTTTGTTCAAGGCTGTAGACGAATCAGGCTTTGAAAAGATTGTTGGTTCGACTACGTCGAAAGAAGCATGGGACACGTTAGAAAAAGTGTTCAAAGGAGCAGATCGAGTGAAGCAAGTTTGACTTCAAACTCTTCGCGGCGAATTGGAGAGGATACAGATGAAGGAGACAGAAATTGTATCTGACTATATCACACGTGTACAAAAGGTGGTGAACCAACTCACCAGAAATGGTGAAACAATAACTGATGCACGAGTTGTTGAAAAGATCTTGAGATCTTTAACAGATAAATTTGAGAGTATTGTGTGTGCAATAGAAGAGTCGAAGGACCTTTCGACGCTCTCATTCGAAGAGCTCGCTGGTTCTCTCGAAGCACATGAACAACGAAAGATGAAAAAGAAGGAAGAAGTCGCCGAAGAAGTAAATCAAACCAAGGAGTCGAACAAAGATGAAAAGGTACTCTTTTCTCAAAACTTCGGAGGAAGAGGACGTGGCCGTGGAGGTCGTGACAATGGTCGAATTGGTCGAAGCAGAAACTTCGAAAGAGGACAATTGAACCAACAAAATTGGCGTGGTATAGGACGTGGTCAAAGAGGTGGTCGATCGAACCACTCCAACTTCGAATGCTACAAGTGTGGGAAGTATGATCATTACGCGAAGGATTGTAACTCCTTCAAATGTTACAACTGTGATAAAATGGGACATCTTGCAAAAGATTTTCGAATTGAAAAGAAGATTAAAGAAATAACCAATATAGCCTTGGAACCTGAAGCGAATGAAGGCTTTCTCCTGATGGCTCAAAACGAAATCAACACCGATAATGACAATGTTTGATATCTTGACTCAAGAGTAAGTAATCACATGTGTGGTTACAAACACCTGTTTAAAGAAATGAAGAAAATTGAAGATGGTAATGTGTCTTTCGGAGATGCATCGAAAGTGAAGGTCGAAAGAAAGGGAAAAATCAGTTACTTGCAGAAGGATGGTTTGATTGGATCAATCGAAGATGTTTACTATGTTCCAGATCTCAAGACCAACATCTTGAGTTTGAGACAAATTATAGAAAAAGGTGTTTCCATACTTATGAAAGATCGAATACTGCATTTGAAGGACAAAGTAGGACATATGATCGCCCGTGTCGAAATGGAAAGAAATCAAATGTACAAACTGAACCTGAGGAACGTTCAAGAGAAATGTCTGCAAGTCTAAATGCAAGAGAAAGCTTCACTATGACATATGCGCTTTGGTCATCTACATCATGCTAGTTTGAGAAGGTTGACAAAAAGGAACATGGTGCATGGACTACCAGACATGGATTCTGAAGGAAAGTTTTATGAAGAATGTGTGCTCAGCAAACAAACAAGAACCTCATTTTAAAAGAAGGCAGAATATCAAGCTAAACATATTCTCGAATTGATTCATACTGAAATATGTGGGTCAATCACTCCAGAATCCTTCAGTTAAAAAAAGTATTTCATTTCCTTTATCGACGATTTCTCAAGAAAGACCTGGGTTTATTTCTTGAAAGAAAAGTCTGAAGCATTAGAGGTGTTCAAAAAGTTCAAAGTAATGGTGGAGAAGGCAACAGACAGACATATCAAAGCAGTTCGATCTGACAAAGGTGGTGAGTACACTTCGATGGCCTTTATGAAGTATTATGAAGAGCAGGGCATAAGGAGATTCCTAACTGCACCATATTCACCTCAGCAAAATGGTGTGGCTGAAAGAAAGAATCGAACTATTCTTGACATGATTCGATCAATGCTTAAAAGCAAGAACATGTCGAAAGAATTCTGGGCGGAAGCTGTACAATGTGTTATTTATGTTTAGAATAGATGTCCATATTCAAAGTTAGGAGATAAAACACCACAAGAAGCATGGAGCGGACAGAAGCCAACAGTATCTCATCTCAAAGTATTTGGTAGTGTATCTTATGCACATGTACCGGATCTACAAAGAACAAAACTTGAAGACAAAAGTCAAAAGTATATATTCATTGGATATGATGAGAAGACAAAAGGGTACAAGCTATTCGAACCCATAAGCAAGAAGGTGATGGTGAGTAGAGTCGTTCGAATAAACGAAGCAAGCAAGTGGGACTGGAATAATTCGAATGAAGTTATTGATGTAGTCGAAGAATCATCTATAGTTGTACCACCAACAAGCATCTCAACAGAACATGAAGACACTGAAGATGAAGATGAACCTCTACAACCCAGAATGCGAAGTTTTCAAGATTTATATGATTCGACAAATGAGGTACACCTTGTGTGCCTTCTGGAAGATGATGAAAACATCAGTGTCGAAGAAGTGTTACGAGACAAGAAGTGGAAAAGTGTCATGGACGAAGAGATTAGAGCAATAGACCGCAACAACACTTGGGAGCTAGTCGAATTGCCAAAAGGTAGTCAACCCATTGGTGTAAAGTGGGTATTCAAGAAAAATATGAACGCTCAAGGAGAAATCGAACGATTCAAAACGTGACTTGTTGCGAAGGGATACAAACAAAAAACATGAATTGATTATGACGAAGTGTTTGCACCTGTTGCAAGAATGGAGACAATTCGATTGCTCATTTCTCAAGCTGCTCAATTCAAATGGCCAATATTTCAAATGGATGTCAAGACAACATTTTTTAATGGTGTACTCGAAGAAGAAATCTATGTCGAACAACCACTTGGATATATGAGAATTGGAGAAGAGAAGAAGGTGCTGAAATTGAAGAAAGCGCTATATGGGCTGAAGCAAGCACCACGGGCATGGAACACACGCATTAACACATATTTCAAAGAGAATGAATTCGAGAAATGTCCTTATGAACATGCCCTCTATGTGAAGAAAAATGGAAGTGATGTATTACTTGTTGCTCTCTATGTTGATGACCTTATTTTTCTAGGCAGTGATATTCAGATGATAGAAGAATTCAAGAGCACCATGACACACAAATTCGAAATGACAGACTTAGGTCTGATGAGATTCTTTCTTGGTCTGGAGGTTCGACAAGAAGAAACTGGAATCTTTATCTCACAAGAAAAATATGCAAAAGAAATCTTGAAAAAATATAAGATGAAAAACTGCAATCCAACTTCGACGCCAATGAAACCAGGTGCAAAAATGTCAAAATTTGATGGAGGAGAACGTTTCGAAGTAAGAAAATATCGAAACTTGGTAGGTAGTCTTCGCTATCTCACATGCACAAGGCCAGACATTTCATTAAGTATTGGCATTGTAAGTCGATTCATGGAGGAGCCAGTACACACACATTGGAAGACATTGAAACAAATCCTAAGGTACATCCAAGGAACAATGTCACTTGGAATGTTTTATTCAAGAACAGAAGACTAAAAGTTAGTTGGTTACTCTGACAGTGATTGGTGCAAAGATATAGACGATCGAAAAAACACTTCTGGATATGTGTTCTTTATGGGAAACACTGCATTTACTTGGCTTTCTAAAAAGCAACCTATAGTAACACTTTCGATATGTGAAGCTGAATATGTGGCAGCATCTTGGTGCGTTTGTCATGCAGTATGGCTTAGAAGATTAATGAGCAAAATGGAGCTAAAACAGGAAGGTGCAACTATAATACAAGTTGACAACAAATCAGCAATCGAGTTAGAAAAGAATCCAGTGAACCATGAAAGAAGCAAACAAATTGACGTTCGCTTCCACTTCATTCGAGAACATGTGAAGGAAGGAAGTGTCGAATTGAGGCATGTAGCAAGCAAGGATCAAGCAGCAAATATGTTCACTAAACCATTATCGAAAGAAATTTTCGACAGAGACAAGAAATTGATAAGTATGATGGATGGAAGAAACATTTAAGTTTCCAGAGGAGTTTTGTTGAATAAACTTTAAATGCTAATGGATTTTTTTTATTAAATAAGATAGTGGGAAAGTTAAAAATCAAATGTAATTTGGAAAGTCAAGAGATAGTAGGTTATAATAGTATTTACTAATAGCATTTACTTTCTTAGAATAATAGAAGTTTTTAGATCTATATAAAGACTAAGATTGTATTTTATTTTTAACAACAAAAAGTAGAAGTTTACTCCTTATTTAACATACGCGACATCTGAAGCGTGACCTAATAGCAAGTAATCTAATAGATCTTGATAGACTATGATATCTACATAAAAATCACAAGCAATATACCTAACATATATATGATATTGAACCTAAGATAACATTTCGCTTACCTAGGAATTTTCCTGATAATCAAATTCTTGATTGGACTCTCGTCCTCTGGACGGCAGAAGATTAAATTCTTAACCTATACAAAGAAAAGTAGTGAATAAATTAACTGATAAAAGATGAGTTTATCAAATATATAGTTCTACATTGGTCATACGAATTTATGCGTTGAATTGCTTACCAAGATGAGACCAATAATATTTCTTGGGTTGCCAGAATGTATAGGCACTCTACTGTGACCTTTACTCATTATTTGTGTCATTGCATGCCTAATAATAAAAATAAAATTCATTTACTCATAAAAGATTGGATTGAAAATTGATGTAAATGACTTCAAAATTTAAGAGTTATGACATATTATTACATGTCTAGTTTGGAATTTATGTCAAGAGAAAACATTTCAGATATGTGTGTCATTGCATCTATAGCTGTCTTCTGAGTCAAATCCATAGCACCAGCGATTATAGAAGTTTCATGATGAGATAATTCTCCTCCTTTTCCGGCCTGCATGAGTCCAAAAAATTTTATGAAAAATGTCGTAAATTGTTTTGCTAAGATCACCCAAACAAATAAGGTCAAATAACCTGATTTGCATGTAAGTCGACAAATGTCTTCAACTCCGATCTTCTTAGAAGAACCGAATGTTCTTTCCCTAGAGCCCAATCAAGTACCTGCGATACTTCCAACACGACATAACACCGACACAAATGATTACATTCAACCACGTTCATTTTCAAAGATATTACCGATATCTATGTGTATGGGTGATATATGTATCTATATTTGTGTTTGCGTCCATATATTATTTACCTTACTTGCTGGATAAGTTATTGGAAAGAAGATGAGCAGAAGAAAATGAGTAAAGGGAGCCAATTTAGCACCAAAGGTAAGTCCATATCTAGAGCAAACAGCTTGAGGTAAAATCTGAGATGACAAAAATCGTATAAGCTAATAATTCAAAAACAAACTTGATTAAAAGACACACATTACCTCTGCAAACACAGTCACCAAAGGTGCTGACATGAGAATAGTAAACCATGATGGAATGATCAAGTCCATAAAAATCGGCAGCGCCTTCAAGAGAAACACTTGAAATCAGTTTTTAAGTCAATGATGTAAAAATAATGAGGCACTTCAAAAAATGTATACCTCCATAGCCAATGATTTTCCAAGAAGAAGAGTGCACAAAACAAAATGTCCATTTTTTACAAAAGGTTGAATCCTTTCTGCATGTTTTTTGTCTTTTGGTCTGCCTGCTTTAATGAGAACCTCGAGATCGACCTGACTGTATGACAATATTCCTAATGCTAGGCCTGATGTAATGCCTGCCAATGACACAATCACTAGACATGTAATTAGAAATAACCAGAATTTAGATTCACAACAAGGGTATTCATATTCATGCATTGTGATATGAAAATTTGAGTTCAAGAGCTTGGCTTATTAAGAGAAGTGAGTGTGACTATTTCTTGTGTAGTTACATATTGACAATGAGAAAGAGGATGATAGATAGGTACAAAAATATATACAGCTAATAATAATAATAATTAATATCTAAGTTGCAAATCAATTTAATTGACATAAGACTTTATTTTAGTGAAGAAAAATTGAGGAAGAGTAAGTTTATGGGCTAATAAGGTGATTCTTGGTGGAGATTATTATGTGAAGACTTCCATGTAGGTGTTGAAAGAGACAGCATAGTTTTTAAACATGGATGAATTTTATTTTTTGTTGGTCAATGTGACAAAGCCTGCCTCAACTTTTGTAGCTACTTTCAATTTGGGAAGACTATACTTTAAGTTCTAAGTTGTCAAGTTCTGTTTTGTTATGTGTAAATTTTAATTTCCTTGTGTTTATTGATCAAGAAAAATAAAACTTCCAACAACAATTAGGCCAATTGCATACAACTAATTTTCAGCTAAGTGAAATTTGTGTTAGAATTCATCTAACAATTAATTACATAAGACATAAGACATGTTAAATACAAAGATGAAAAATATGATTATGTTTTAATACGTAGTGGAAAATAAATTTTTTCTTTAAGTTGATTTTTACGAGTGGATATGATAATTAATTGGATGGTTATCTCTTGTGGTGATTAATTCTTGATGCAAAATTCAAAGAGCAATTATGAGTGATGCACAAACAACAATTTTTTTATCTAGTCTATACGAACCGAGAGTCTTCAATCTCAGGATTAGCTGATCTGAATTAAGAGAGAGACTCTAAATTTCTAAAATGCAAAGGTTTCACAAATTAAATTTGATCAAACATGAATACTTTTTCAACACAAGATTTTGTACATTTAATTTTGATCTCTCCTCTAAAACATGTCCCCCCTACATGCCTCATACTTGGGGAATTATGTACATTATGATATTTCTCATATAATTATATGGGTTAGACGCGAAGCCGAACGTAACGTAGCAAGTCCAAACCTAATCCATTAACAGGAAAGGACTAGGAGATTTTTTTCCACCTTGTTAAGTTGAGTCACACCTCTGAAAATCTGAAAATATTTTTTGGATGTGCATATTCGAACACACCTTGTGAATTTGAAATATTGAGTTATTTCGGATATGCATATCCGAACGAACTCCTATATTTCATTTTTACGGAGATTTCGTACATACATATCTGAAATAATCCAATATCCTAAATTTCTTTTGATTTTATTTTGAAAACATATTTATTTATAATATAATTAAATTAAGTTATTATTAATAAAAATTAACTTAAATTTATAATTGAAAACTAAATATTAAAGTAAATTTATGACATGAAATTAAACAATGAATGTAATAATTAAATTTCTAATTATAATTGTGAAATATAATTGTTTTTAATTTTTTATTTAAAATTGCGAATTATTTTTGATAAAAATATAAGAAATATTTTTTAATTATAACTTTAAATGTTAAATTTTATTTAGATGACACTTTTTAGTTTTTATAATAGAATTGATAATTAATTATTATGTTGTAATTAGAAAATTTATTATATTAAAAAGATATTTACATTATAATTAAAAGTTAAATATTATTAATAATTAATAAAATTAAAATAGAATATTTAATATTAAATGAATAGATTCTTGTAAAAAAATGAATAATTTATAAATTATAGAGATCATCTATAATAAATACATATGTATCTCATAAGAATGAATGTGGTTATTTCGAACATACATATTCGAAAATCTTTTAAAACGAAATATTGAATTATTTCGGATATGCATATCCGAAATAACTCAATATTAAATTATTCGGTTATTTCAGATATGCATATTCAAACAAATCTCTAATAAAATTTATATTTGATACATTCGAATATATACATTCGAGTTTTAAGGATATTTTAAATACCATTATACACATAGACATAGCATTAAAGCTATTGAATAACCTTAAAAGGCTGGCCTCAAATAAGGGGACAAAGAATTTAACTTCTTTTATTACCTTCAACTAAACAAGTGAGCAACATCCTAATGATAATTAAATAAGCATAAAAAAACTCAGGCCTAACATAAATTAGAGTGTGTGAGACTTAAGTTTTTTAAATGTTACTGTTTCACAAATCAAATTTGGTTAAATATGAATACTTAACCACATGGATTATATTTATAGAACTGTATGTGTGAGTTCAAGATGAAAAAAACTCATTTAAGCATTTAGTTCTATCAAGTAATGTTTTTCAATGATTTTGATGATTACAATTCAATAAGAAAAAATATATCAAAAGTCTCATCAATAAAAAAGCGAGCACAAGTCAAAGAAACTTATTGAATCAAAAGGAACTAAAGTTAAGTTTTAGTTGAAAGTGTTAGACAAAATTTAACTAAGCAGAAGAAGTCGTAGTTGTGAAGTTGTAAAAATTCTAAGTGATTTGTTTAAGATTGTTTAAGTTAATCTTGTGTAAAAGTTTAAGTTGTTTGTGAAAATTATTGAATTCATGTGTAAAACTTCAAATTATTTAAGGTTATTGGATTGAACCTAAAAAAAAATTCAAATTTATTATAGTGAAAATCACACAGAAAAATCTTGAGAACTAAAATAAATCACATGATTTAGAACAAACAAGAATAAGCTATAATCTTTCTATCCATATTCCTTTTATTTTATCATTTATCTTATTCCACTGTTTATCTCTTTTTATTTCTCTCTACTAACATAAATTATTTTCAAACTAAAGAGTTTTTATAAATATAAGAATTAATGAACTTTTTGATTTCTCTAAATATTTTAAACTTTATTTTTAGTTCTTCTAAAAATTTTCTTTAAAGAATGATTTTTTTAAAAAATTTAAAATTTAACTTTTAGTTCCTCATAACAAAATTATAGTTAAAATAGTCTCTAATTTCGTTACTAAATTAAAATTTTAACTTTTTAGTCTCTTATATACCACTAAAGCGTTCAATACTCATAATAAGTGTATAAAAAATATTTCATATATTTTAACATTCTGATTTACAAAAGGAGAATAAACATGGAAATCTAAATCTAATGAGCTTATTTAATGGATTTCATAATAATAAAATAAAATAATTAAAAACAGGTTTAAATAATATGTTAGTTTTTATAAGTTAATGCATTTTTGTTTTTAGTCTCTTATTTTTAAATAGTCTTTGAATGTTTAAAAAAATTTAGTCTTAATCCTTAAAGTTAAAATCTACAGAAAAATTTGTAGGAAAATTGACAGGAAAGCAACAAATTTTAAATTCGCAGGAAGATTTGTAGAAAATTTGCAGATTTTTCTACAGATTTTGAATTTAAGGATTAAAATAAAAAAGATTTAACGTTCAGGGACTATTTAAAAAAAATACATATTAAGGACTAAAAATAAAACACGCTAATTTACAGGGACCAACATACTATTTAAGTCTTAAAAAATTAATATTTTCAACACTCCCCCTCAAACTAGTGAATGAATATCAATCATTCCAAACTTGCAAATAAGTTGGTTGAATCATTTTGTTGGTAGACCTTTTGCTAACACATATGCCAACTCATGCTCATAATGCATGTAGGCGCTAGTTATCAGTTTATTGTCCAACTTTTCTTTGTGAAACGTCAGTTAATCTCAATGTGTTTTGTCTTGTCATGTTGAATCAAATTATGTCACTATTATAAATAATGTTTCTAACGTCGAACGCAAAATGTGTTTTACTTCAGCATTAGATGCGAGGTAAATAAGGTCGTCGTAAAAAGTAAAGACTTATCACCTTGGTGTTTAAAACACCAAGATAAAATTTTATTAGCACATAAGTTAGAACCCTAGCATCAACAACTTTTATTATTTTCAAAACTAGCATATCTTTTATCTCGGTTTATCAAAATAACCAAGGGATATGATTATTTATTTTATTTAAAAAAAAAATTATAGTGTTTACCTAGAATATTACATTTCTTACACATAATATTAAAATTAAAGTAAAAATCAAATTCCCTAGGAATCTACATGAAAATCAAAATTCCTGAAGGCCTAGATTTTAGATCTTCGAATTACTGAATATAGGTGAAGATCAAATGTTGGGTGCAAGAATATTCTCTACGGATCTTACATACATTTGTTTCTGGTGGAAAAAAAGTAAGATAATTAATATCAATAATCAAAAATATTTTCGGTACAAATAAAAATTTAATAACACAAATCTTGAACCCAGATGATTTTCTGCTTTTATCATCCATCGCAGAGAACTTTTCTAAGCGTCCTTAGGTTTCAAGCGTTTCATATGTTTCATTTAGGTTAGATTTTCAATATTGTAAGATAACTTATATAATGGATGTCCCTTAGGTTTCACGCGGATCGCTAATGGCAGATTCTTGAGCGTTGATAACTTTTAAATGGACGACAAAGATTTGTTTAAGACCGTTGAAAATAGTGAAAAATAACAATTAATTATCTTCTCGATTTTAGAATAGAATTGAGGGGTTAGATTAATTTTTTTTTATAAAAATGGTATATTGTTTACCAAGAATATTAAAAATACATTGTATGCAATAAATCTTCGGAGAATATCAAGATTGTTTACCCAAAATATTAAAAATACAGTATGTTCAGATCTCATACAAGCTGCTAGATATCTGTTTCACTAATATCCATCTTCTTAAAAGTTAAACTCTCTTCTTTGTTTAAACTTTCAAAAGTTGAGCTTCCTTCTTTGTTTAACTTGAAGAAAGAATGATTTTATGCACTTGCAATCTATCAAATGAGCAAAAATATAATAAAAGCATTTCTCCAAAAAAAATACAACACTATTTTGTGAGATGGATTACAAGGGCAGAAAAAAATATTTTGTTCTAGTTATAAAAACATTGAAGATTTTTTTTGTCTTGCAATCTATCCTAAATAATGATGCTAGTTTGGAGCGACATCATATTAGGACGGATTAGGGTAGAATCTAACGA